ATCTTCGTTGTGAAAATTATGTCTGAATGTCATTCTAAAGATCTAAAATGATTATAATCGACTGATAATTATGATAATTAACATGATTGTGTGTTTGAAACGTCATCTAGTAAATAATATTGTTTCACTGTGTAACATAAGTTTGATTTCTATCAGTTCAATTAAGAAAGAAGTTATTTTTTCGAATTATTACTCAAGAATGTTTTCTTTTGAAGTAGATTGAAAGGATTGTTTTATTTTCGTTAGTATTTAACCCGTTATTGCTTCTGTTAATTGACCATTTTGGACCGAAATGTTCGGCCTCAGTTAACATATTGGCTGCCAGTACAGAAAACCTTTGACAATATGCGGAGACTAATATTATGTTATTTTGGTTGATGGTAACTAGCAGTGGAATCCGGGATGCTCATTCGAACCTATTTGAGATTTCTTAGCTGGATGTACTTGTATCCCAGTGAATGATGTTGTTCCAACTGAGACCCAAAGCCTGCTTTAGCATTTGAAACGATGAGTACGGGGTTTGAGTCTCACTGGGAACACCACCGCTTATCAAAGATGCAGATATATTCAGATGATGAGTCCCAGAAAGGAGGAAATGAGCACCCTAGATTCTACTGCTAGGTTGACCATCGACCATCATAACATAATCAGGTTTAATTACTGGTCACAGAAGGATACTACAGAATTAGAATTAATTGAATTATTGAATTTCAACTCATCCTCTGAATAGTTAGCGGACTGATCTTGGTTACGCCTTATTGAAGAGCCTCAACCTAGAGCGAAATAGTTGTTCAGTGCACTTTGGTTTTTAGTGATTGAAGCCTAACCAACTTTCATTACTCTCAAGTCTGTATGGAGATCAACAGCACTCAGCATGAAAATGAAAATAAGACCCGGATTTTCAACTCTATTATGAAGTTAGTGCTACTGTACGGATCAGAGACCTGGCGTGTTACCTTCATCAACAGCTGTCTTCGTTCAATACTTCTCAAGATCAGATGGCCAGAAAAGATCAGCAGCACGGATCTCTGGGAGCGAACCAACCGGGAACCAGATAAGGAAGAAGAAATGGAGATGGATTGGTCATACTCTGAGAAAACCATCAAGTGACATCACACTCCAGACCATCGCTTGAGTGGAACCCGAATGGTAAGCGGCGAGTTTGTCGTCGATGCGAGGGTGACATTGAGTAGGTCATGCGAAGAGGAGATGAAAGCATGAGGACAGACATGGAGCCAGGTGATTAAAAGTGGTGGCAGAGAACCGAACTCATTGGCGACGTGCGGCTGAAGCCCTATGTTCCTATAGAAAATAAAGGTTACAATAATAATAATAATATTATTATTATTATTGTATCCTTTAGTTCCTAGAGGAACATAGGGCTTCAGCTGCGCACCTCCATTGCCTTCGGTTTTCTGACAACTTTTTCACCCTGCTCCAGGTCTGTCCACATGCTTTCATCTCCTCCTCGCATGACCTCCTCCAAGTCACCCTTGGACGACCAACTCGCCGCCTCCCTTTCGGGTTCCACTCGAGGGCTTGTCTAGTGATGTCACTTGATGGTTTCCTCAGCGTATGGCCAATCCATCTCCATTTCTTTCTGCCTATTTGTTTCACAATCGGTTCCTGATTGGTTCGCTCCCAGAGATCCCTGTTGCTGATCTTTTCTGGCCATCTGATCTTGAGTATTGAGCGGAGACAGCTGTTAATGAAGGTTTGAAGTTTGTTTGAGATGCTCTTTATGACTCGCCAAGTCTCTGATCCGTATAGTAGCACTGACTTCACATTGGAGTTGAAAATCCGGATCTTATTTTTGATGCTGAGTGCTGTTGACCTCCACACAGATTTGAGAGTAATGAAAGCTTGTCTTGCTTTTCCGATTCTGGCTTTGATGTCCTCGTCAGTTCCGCCTGTAGTTGAGACGATGCTTCCCAGGTAGGTGAAGGAGGTTGTTTCTTTCAGGTTCTTCCCATTTATGCTGATTGTTGTTGTTGCTGTTGATGTTGGCTAGGAATCTTCATCATCTCTGTTTTATCTATGTTCACGTGAAGTCCTATCTTTGATGCTTCTTCTGCCAACTTGTTACTTTTCACTTGCATATCTTCCAGTTTATGGGAAATCAGACATATATCATCGGCGAAATCCAGATCCTCCAAGTCTTTTGTGTCAGTCCATTTTATGCCTGTTCCCTCGTTGGTTGCCGTTGTCTGTCGCATTATCCAATCAATTGCAATCAGGAAGATCATTGGTGATAGTAGACAGCCTTGCCTCACTCCCGTCCTCACTTCGAAGGCTTCCGTAAGTTTCCCGTTGTGGATTACTTGGCATGCAGCATTGTCGTATAACTGTTGGATGAGGTGTATAATTGTCGATGGGACCCCGTAGTAGCGAAGTAGTTTCCAAATGACCTCTCGATCGACGCTGTCGAAGGCCTTTTCAAAGTCGATGAAGTTGAGATAGAGAGGTGACTGCCATTCCAAGCTTTGTTCAATGATGATCCGTAGAGTGGCGATTTGATCAATACATGATTTGTTTCTCCTGAATCCGGCCTGTTCCGGACGAAGTTTTTCATCTAGGGCTTGTTTGATTCTCTCCAGGATGATGCGACTTAGTATCTTGCTTGGAATGGACAGAAGCATAATTCCACGCCAGTTTTTACATTGACTTAAGTCTCCTTTCTTTGGAAGTTTGAATAAGTATCCGTTCTTCCAATCCTCGGGTACTTTGCCCTCTTTCCACACCTTCTCCAGCAGTGGTGTCATCAAGTCCGCTGTTGTCTCTGGGTCTATTTTCAAAGCTTCTGCTGGGATTCCATCTGGTCCCGGTGTTTTCCCAGCTTTAAGCATCTTGATTGCATTCAGGACTTCTGATTTCGTCGGGGGGTCAGTGTTCACTGGTAGTTCTGCTTCCGTTGTTGGTATTGTTGGGCGCGTTGTAGGTGGCGGACGATTTAGAAGTCTTTTGAAGTGTTCAGCCCAGTGCTTTCTCTGTTCCACCTCTTTGGTGATTGACTTTCCATTGTCGTCCTTTATTGGCTTAATCTGTGTCGAACGTTTGCCCGAAAGGTTCCTAGTTGTTTGGTAGAGTGTGGCGAGGTCTCCTTTGCCTGCAGCTTGTTCTGCTTCGTTTGCCATGGTTTCATAATATTTTCTTTTGTCTTCCCTGGCACTCTTCTTCACTCTTTTGTTCAGTGTATTGTAGCTTGCATTCAGCTCCTGTTTTTGTTGCTCGTCAGTGCACTGGATAATCTTTTGCTTCACTGTCCTTCTCTCTTCTATTAGTTTCCAAGTGTCCGTAGTGAGCCACTGTTTGTCCTGTCTCTTTTTTCTGCCTAGAATTTCTATGCAGGTTTGGCTCCACACCGTTTTCAAGTTGTTCCAGTGCTTTTCGACGCTGACCTTTTCGCTGGTGTTGATTTGTATCTCAGCTTTGTCCTTTATGCTTGCAATGAAGATGTCCTTTGTAGCCTGGTCCTTCAGCTTTTGAGTGTTGAACTTGGCTTGTGGTCTATCTGCAGCTCCTGATTCCCTGAAAGCTTTTAATTTGATTTGGATTGTCCCTTGTACGAGATAGTGGTCTGAGCCAACGTCTGCTCCTCTTCTTGCTTTTGTGTCCAGTAGGCTGCGCCTCCACTTCCTTGAGATTGAGATGAAGTCGATTTGGTTTTTGGTTTGCCCGTCTGGTGACACCCATGTAGCCTTGTGGATATCTTTGTGCTTGTATACACTGCCACCAATCACTAGTTCGTTGAAGGCGCAGAAGTCGGCGAAGAGTTCTCCATTTTCATTCATTTCTCCTAGAGCTTCTCTACCCATGATGAGTTCCCTTCCTGAGTTGTCTGGTCCCAGTTTGGCGTTCATGTCTCCCATTAGTATTTTCATGTCGCCAGCTGGAGTATTGTCCATTGTTGCCTGTAGTTGTCTGTAGAATTCTTCTTTCTTTTCGAGGTCTGCGTTGTTTGTGGGTGCATAACATTGTATGATTGACACTTTCCTTCCTTTGGAGTTGAATCTGGCGGTCATTATCCTGGACGAAATCGCCTCCCATTGTATCAGGGCTTTCGTTGCCGTTGGTGACATCATGATAGCCACGCCCTCGGTGTGCGTGTGGTTATCTTCTGGGTGACCGGAGTAGATCACTGACTCACCCGTTGACAATTTGGTGAGTCCACTCCCATTCCATCTGCTTTCACATATTCCTAGCACTTGTATTCCGTATCTTTTCATCTCGTTGGCGATCTGGGCAGCTTTCCCTGTCTCGTACATAGTTCGGACGTTCCATGTTCCCACACAGACTTTTTCTTTTGGTGCAAAGAGGTTCATTCTGCTGAAGGTTCTGTAGCAATTTTGTTTACAGGGTGGGGTTGCTAGCCTCACGCCTGAGAAAGGAATGATTACATTAAGTTAAAGTTTAGAGAGAAGCAACTTTTTGGGTTGCTCCCCTCAAAATCAGAAAATAACGGACAAACAATGAGAACAACATCAACAAAGGAAACAGTTCACAGAAAAAAGGGCAAAAAGCGACGACAACTATACAATAAGACAACATGCAATATAGTTCAGCACAGTTAACTAAAATGATATCTTAACCATAAACTCACTGACTTGGAGCAACTTGAACATATAAATCCAACAATATATACAATTATAGATGTGTTTATGTTTAAAAATTCCACAAATCCAATTAGTTAGTTATATGTATTATCTGTCAATAAGATTGTATTTTTTGGATTCAGTGTTCGAAAGGTTAATAATTGTGATAGTTTCCGCAAACTCTTGGCATAAAATTTTACAGAAATAAGAGTTTTTATTAATAAGCAAAATGTAGCGTAGTAGTCGAAAAGCGCGCGCGTTAATAATAATAATTGATAATACATATATTTGTAAAAGCTAGAATCTGAATTTCTCACTGTGTTTATTATTCTACTATATATTATATATATATATTGAATAAGAAAACTTAATTACATTCCTTATGTGTTTTTTGAAATACTATTACAGAATGATGTATGCTCACCGGGTGGAACTACAATTCAAGGTGTTTATGCTTTAGAAAAAGGCGGTCTAAGAGCTACTCTAATGGATGCTGTACAAAAAGTTTGTGCACATGGAGAAGCATTAAGTAAAAAGTCATAATATCACTGTATTTCTTTGTTTTGCTTCACTTCTATTCATTTATATCTTCTTATGATATTGCATTATGTGTTATAAATGACTGAATGATTGATTGATTAATTGAAACGCTTATTCTTTTGTCCTATATGATGTATATGTGTACATCACTTCGATATGCTTTTCATTTGATATGCAAAAGTGATTTTTCTTTCTTTTTTTTGTTTTTCCCTTTTTTGCATCTACTTATTTATTCGCGTATAACTTTTGACAAAAATATTTGTACCTTTGATAATGAAAATCTATGTATTTTTAAGTGGAAAGAAAAATAAAGAAACTGTGGTTTAGTCTTGTGTTATTCCATTTGTTTCTTCCCATGGGATATTTTTTTACCCCTTGAATTTTTCTGTACTTAAGAAGAAGTCAATCATGTGTGTATTTCACCTGAACTATGTTCATTCAAAAATATTCAACTTTCTGTCCGATAAGTGGTGAAGCAGTGTAAAATGTTAGCTCTGGGTAATTAAAACAAATAGGGTGTAAAAGTCAGTCAATTTATGTTATAGGTTCGAGTCCCACATTGGGCTTCATTTGTATGTGTGTGTGAGCGCGCATGCGTGCATGGTTTATCGAACACTTTGTGTGTTAGTAATTCAGTGGTAGTGTGATCATCAACCGGGCATGTGGTCTGGAGTTCGAACCCCAATTGACTCAATCTTAGATGTTGCACATTTCGCTTTGTCATAAAAACTCAGGAAAAGAGAGAAAGTTGGGTGTGGAGTTAGCAACTCCACCCTGTAAAAACAACACCATGCCTACTGGAAACATCAAGGACTAAAGCCTTTTGTCCTATTCGGGACTGAAACTTCTACCAAGCTGTTTCACTATGCAAAACAAATTACCTATAAGTAATTTATTCTTCACGGGACATAAGTGATGATCAGTTATTTTGACACAAGACGGCTATTTCTCTCGTTTTAGGACCATCTTGATCAGCGATGTACTTGGGTGTTGATTAAGCATAGAGAGACAGTTCAAACCACTCGAATCCTGGCTATTATTTTTAATTTCAAGACACATAACTAGCATTTTAGGCATTTTTGAAATAATAAGTGTTGTTGAAGTAACTGTGTTCCCTAAGCTGAGTGAATTTCAGTGTAAAGCCTTCACTTGTTCTTCAGGAGGACATCTTCAGAGGCCCTTTAACCGTGTAAAGTGACTTATATTTGAAATTACTCATGAGTTGAGTCTGTTAAACTTCCTCGGTGTTCTGGGGTCCATCATGCTCGATATAAGGACAAATACTCACCTTTGACATTAGTTGGCAGTTGCGCTGTATGTATCGCACATTTGCAGAGGCTATAATTCATGAACCTCTGAAATCCAAAAGTGGTTGATTAGCCCACATGCTTACCTTGTGACCTGAAGATCATTGGCTTGATCATCGATGCGGTGGTGGGAGTGTAGTGCTGGAAAGTCACAAATCAGGACGAAACAGTACAGTCCAGTACCCCCTGATTTTTAATGGCTCTCTAACTGATCAAACTTGAAACCAATCAAATCTCTCCCATTCAAACTACTATGAAATAACGTCCTACTGAAGATGCCGACTTCTATATTAATTTTAATTAGTATATGCCACGTACACATTTATTTTGTCAGAAGAACGTTTCGTTTTGATTGAACACATGTTAGTAACTAGTGTAATATGTCTAGTCCTTTTTTGGTGCAAACCAAATTCTATCAGTCAAGTTTGCATTGTGGCCAGCATTCTAAGTGGCTCACCATCACGGTGTACTTTGAATTGTTGATATCTGACTTCAGGTGGCACTGAGTGATGCGGGTTTAAATCTCAGAAGGGACGTGAATTGCTTCAAGGTTGCAGACACGTCTTGCTGACTGGCGAGTGCCAACTAGCACGAAACCTAGGTCAGGTAGGGTTTCTTGCCGATTGCCTTCAACTATCTGATGTTTTGTTTTATTTTGGTACACCTTGGCAATTTCTACTTGTGATTCTGTGGATGGAGATCTACACGCTACAGTTAGCTAGTATTCATTGTTGAATGTCACCCTATAGGACAAGCTGATTTGAATGTCTCTTAAGATGAAATCCTTAAGATAAACTCCTCTCATGACAATAGATTTGCACTGCTAAACATTTAAAAACCTGTGTTGAAATGGTTGACCAGAAATCCTTCGTTTTTAGGAATTGTGCATTCTTGGCATAAATTTATTTCTAAATCACTAATATCCCAATCAATCTAATTTCTGAAGATCAGTAACCTAAACATTTATGTATACTTTCGTAAATAAAAAACGCCCACTGTATTCGTCACAATAGCTGCCTGTGAAATTCTATGATTTATAACATTTTTTAAAACTAAGTAAGAGAATCTCTTATTAAGAACAGTATTTAAGCTCTACGCATCTATCGTCTACTAGTCAAGGAAAGTAATTTATATAAACATTGAAAAAGCAAGAAGAAGGGAACTTACCTATTTACATAACATAATCAATTAAAGGAAATATCGATTTTAGAAGGGAAGAAAACGGAAAAGCATTTCCTTGAATTCGATCACATTATGTCTGTATCCGTTTTTTTTCTATTTTGTTCAATCAATACATGTCTGATCCAACAAAAGTAAGCAAAGATTATTTATTGGTGTGTTTTGTTTTTCTTTTATATCAAAACTCTCTCTCTCTCTCCCGTTTTTGAGTAGCTGATGAAAAATGAGTCCAAATCAGTCTGAGTGAATTGCTCTTCTTATATTACTATTATCATGACTTAGTGCCACGGTGGCACAGTGGTTAGGGCACTCGCCGACCATGCACATGGTCCGGGGTTCGATCCCCTGCCGGCTCACACCCGATATCTATGGTTGGCCTGCAAAATTTGGGCTACCGATATCACATGCTGTAAATTCCATACCTGTACCGAAAAATACGATGTGGAATCAAGCTGTAATAAAAAAATTATTATTCCCTTTAGTTCTGAATGGAACAGTACATCTCCATTAAATCCTGTTCTCTGCAGTCCTCTTTAAATTGGTTCACGATTGCCCATAAGCCTTTCATCTTCTCTTCACACCATCTCGTCAGTGTCAACCAAGGACCCAGGCCCAACTCGTCTTTTCCCAATCGTGTTCTACTCAAAGGCCTCGCCTCGTCCAATGTCATTTGATGGTCTCCTCAGCCTGTGCCCAATCCATCTTCATTTTCCTCATACATATTTGTTGAGCAATCGGCTGTTGGTTGGTTCGTTCCTAGTTTATAATTCTTTCTACCTGTGTGACCTTCAGTATGGAGCGAAGGGTGCAACTGTTGTTAGAGGTCTGTAGTGGCCTGTTGGAAATGCTTTTGGTGACGCGCAGTACGAGTTTCTGACCTATGTAGGACTGACTTAACATTGGTGTTGTAAATCTGAATCTTTATGCTGAATGAAGTAGATGGTCTCTAAACTGATTTCAGAGTGATGAAGGTTACGCTACCAAAACTGACTCGGTTAAAGTTAAACTTTAAGCACCACTAACTACCAATCAGTGAATGACATCGAATCCACCAATCACGTGAAGGAGGCATTTTTGTGTATGGAATATATATTTATCAAAAAAAAATGGCATAAAAACTGTATAAAAGTGTTACAGAGGATACCTTCCCCTCACATGGGATTAAAATAGCTCTGTTTTAGGTTGGAGTATCAACAGAGTATAGTTCCATACATTCATTTCCCTTAATGAATTTAAATAAAGCAAGAACAATAGTTTTTGCAGAATAAAATGGTACCATCATTGCTGATTTCGTCAGCTTCTCAACGGCTCAGCCGCTTACAACCCAAAGTCATTAATAAGTATATCTACAGAAACAATTTCAATATACTTGCAGAGAGTTCATTTTAAACAAAAATGAATAAATATGTCCATATATATATATAATATATATATATATATATCGACAAGCAGTGTAACAGACGAGTATTTGTCCTCAAACCGGACACAGTAGACCATACTGATGATTACCTCTCACTAGAACTTCAGAAACTCTATCCTTTAGTCAGTGACTGGGATGCAGTGAATATATTTTCAGTTGATGGTTTGTAGTTAATTTATTCTGCGAAAGTTTTTGAATCCAAAGGTAATATCAAAGCCTTTTCCTTTTGTCAATATTGAATTGAAGACAATCAACTTCAACTGAACACTAGTGTATGCCATCGAGTTGATCCACAAGTTATCGATAATCCATAATCTCTATAAATGTATTTCTTTGTAAATAATCTTGGGAGAAGGATGCTTAAGTGTTAAAATCGACATGAAAGTCGCATATATTTAGAATACTAATCAGAGACGTGTGTAATAACTTGTATCGTATGTCGTATTCACTACTTCATTTTCAGCAGAAAGTAAAACCACTGAACATTCAAAGTGTTGTGTACCATATAAAAATTCTGTATCAAATACGTCAGATCTGAACATTAAAACCTAAAAGCAGCTAGAATAACAACAAGAAAGTAGGTCGATTTTTTTCATTCGCATATTTAAAATGTTATTTCAGGATTTTATCATGAATCGATATCAGTTAGAGGACCATTGAAAAACCTGGGAGCACCGGATAGCAATTTCGTCAGCCTAGTTTAAGACTCTTCAACAATGCGCACTCACCGTAAGGGTTCGAACCCAGGACCTTCTGGTTGCATTCGCTAGCAGAATTTGGAATTCACGGGGTGGCCATTGGATCGGGCCTCAGTGGCTTAGTGATCTACAAGTTTCTATTGTAACCACAAGACCCCGGGTTCTAACCCATATTTTGGGTGCGTACTGTTGACGAGTCCTAAACTAGGCTAATGAAACGGCTGTGTAGTACTGACATGTTTTCCAATGGCTCGCTAAGTGATGTCAGCTGATGATGAAATCCTGAAACGAAACAAATCCCTTCAAATGAACACTTAAAATGTTATTGTTAAAACGACCGACATTACCATACAGGTAGTTACACCAGAATATAGAGACAATAGTCGACCTTAAGTAGTTTCAACGTACACCATGAAAATCCACAAATCAGTAGAACGAATGCCTTCGATGGTTTATTCATCAAGGATCTTGTAAACACAGGAAATGTAGAAGTAGGAATGTTGAAACCACTAGCATGAAATCAACAAATATTCTCCTACAACTATCAAACATTTAGAAATTAATTTAAATTTTATTATGGCATTCAAATTCTGGATATTCAAGTTACACAGTTCAAGATATCCTGCAGATCACATATTATATGATACGAATAGTTTCGGTTCCTAAAAGTAGCTTCGGTGAAATTTTACTGAGAACCGTGTAAGTTGTAGAATGTGACTTA